GTTTGTTTTGTGGGCTATGTGTATGGGAAATTACTAATATTAATATGTTACATTATCCTACCAAGTTTGGTTAAGGTTAGCCCAAAGACCACGGAGTAGTTCGGGAACAAACAAATATTTCGCTTTCATAAGAATAAGGCCAGGCATGGCCAGGTGGTTAGGGAGCTCGACTCGGAATCTGAGGTTCGCGGGTTCGAATCCCCATCACACCAAACATGCTCGCCTTTTCAGCCGTGGGGCGTTATAACATGACGGTCAATCCAACTATTTGTTGGTAAAAGAGTACCCCAAGAGTTGGCGGTGGGCGATGATGACTAGCTGTCTTCCCTCTAGTCTTATACTGCTAAATTAGGGATGGCTAGCGCAGATAGCTCTCGTGTAGCTTTGCGCGAAAATTCAGAACAAACAAACAAACATAAGAATAGATACAAAAACACAAGAAAGAAACAAAAACTTTTGGACATTCTACTGTGTTTTCGTTTGAATATTTTGCATACAGTTACGATTCCCTGGGCAGGTACAATATTTTTAAAAAGGTAGTTCCATAACGCAGTAGTTATAAGTTTACATTTTAAAAACTATATCAGTCAAAGTACTTTTCTTTGACTGTTACAAAAATTAAATAAGCCATGGATTTTTGACTTTCATTATTTACCTAGAAGTAAGACCTATTGGGATTTGTGATTCAAACATGTTCGTATTACAAATACACGTAGAGAAAACAAAAAGAGAATAGGCATGCTCGTGAAAGGTTAAGTTTCGGGAAGCAACATGGGGATAATTTATTTCGTTGGGTTACGGATTATTTGTTTTTAAATCAAATCTACACTATGAGCTATCTGATCTGTGTTCACAACGGGTATCAAACCTCAATTTGTAGCGTTATAAGCAACCAGTCTTACCGCTGTTGAGAACGATTATCTTTGGGATTCTGTGAGAAATTTGATTATTGATAGATGCTCTTGTATTAAAAAGTTTGTTTGTTTGTTTTGAATTTTGCTCAAAGCTAAACGAGGGCTATCTGCGCTAGAGGGAAGGCAGCTAGTCATCACCACCCACCGCCAACTCTTGGGCTACTCTTTTACCAACGAATAGTTGGATGGACTGTCACATTATAACACCCCCACGGCAGAAAGGGCGAGCATGTTTGGTGGGACGGGGATTCGAACCCGCGACCCTCAGGTTGCGAGTCGAGAGCCCTAACCACAAGCCCATGCTGGGTCCGTATTAAACAGAATCATCTGAACATGCGCAACAATAAAATACATCTATGAACGACTCATGCCAATATGGTTAAAAAAACGAAAATTTAAATTAAACGTGTATTTTCTATTTTCTGTCTAAATATTTAGTTAGAATCTGCGTCCTATTTTTGTACAATGACGATTTTCTTTCGCTGTAATAAATACATGAAATATGCTAATCACTTTAAGTTTAACTCTTAGGTATACATGTATACTTAGTATATATTGTTATTCTGTTCATACTTTCATGAATTCCGTTATGTGACAAATCAGCCAAATGTCATCTACATTCGTACAGACAACTTAACAAACAAACATCTAGAACACATAAGCTGTCAACAATGTTGTAATCTGTTTCAGAATTGCCCAAGTAATGTAACTTGATTCAGTACACCTTAATTATTACATAATGTTTCCTTTGTGGGATTATGATGGCGCACTTTTAAAGTGCCAGAACAGTGATAGTTTTGAAAAATGATTTCCTGTTATAGACAGATATTTCAGGGGTTTAACTCCGTGTTTCTATTCTGTGCATGTTCGTGGTGGAGAAGAATCGTGATCGGTTATACATATTCAATAACTGCTGTTATGGCGGAAATTCAGAAACGCGGGATTTTTATGACATGGTTATATAAAACATCCTTTTGAAACTTGCTAGAATTTATTTGAAATAAACTGTGAGTGATTGCATTTTATCAACGTAGATTATTCAACGTATGTTTTCTGCACTTATTTTCTTTTCAATCACGATTCATGCAACTTAGAAATCTTCCCTGAGCGAAAATGGCGAAAAACCAGATATGAGTCGATCTATAATCTATGTCATACAATTATCATACACAATTACTCATACATTAACATATAACCACTATTCTTTGCAAGTAACTTCATGTTCAAAGTATTAACAGATGTGCCAGTGCGATGCACGGTGAGAGGTTTATGAAAGTAACAAATCATATATATGATTCATTTATTGACTGTATAGAGAAGGGTCATTGTTTCGTTTTACCTATAGCTACATCTTTGCTGGAGTTTGTGGCTATGTATGCAGAAACCTGCCTAGATTTCACATGATAGCATTAATAGTTTGGATTGTAATTGGCACTCTCTCATAGCTTGCTCACCATGCCTCACTGCTCGTTCTTGCTCTGTCTCATTTTGTCTTTGCTTCTCTTGTCTATGCCTTTGTTCAGCAAGCCTTGTTACTTTTTTTCTAATTCACTCTGTTTTCTTTCACACTATCCCTCCCTTTCACGTTCAATTCTAGAGGACCTAACAGTATCATTTTCATTATGGCTTTAAGATATATTTCATGCAAAGTTGCTTCCAGATTTAATCTCATAGCACCTATTTTTCACAAATGTTCTAGGAGAATGTCCCCCAGACCTCCGTAGCATTAGCATGCTGATTGTGGTTCGCACAATTCAAACATTCTGCGTACAGGCCTGATAGTTGATAGATGCTG